TTACCAACTTTACAATATCCTTTTTCTCATTAAGTAAATAAGCTTTTCGAGAATGAATTTGTAAAGGTATATTTTTATTTCCATCAAATAATAATTCGATCATTAGAGGATTAAATACAGCTTCACGGAAACTAGCAATATCAAAGAAACATGTAAAAAGTTGTTCAAGTAAATAACGAGCAATTTTCATTTCTCTAATATTTTTTGGAAAGTTTGGAAATTTTGAGGAAAATGCTAAATAAAATTTAATAATTATATGTAAATAGATGGTAATAGTGACCAAAAAGTGGCAAAATGAGCTGAGTGCTGAGTCCGAATAGAGGTGCTGAGTACGAATCTGAACAAGCACTCGACTTGGCGCCGAATTCTACTTAGTCGCATTCGGGTCCGGGGTTCGAAATAAACAAATTCTAGGTTCAAATTAGGACTCAGCACACTCAATTACGATTTGAAAGCCTCAAAAATATCAAAAAAGCATTTTTTTACTCATTTTCCCTCTGGACCAATGATTATCAGTTACCAAATAGATTTTTTGGTTCCTTAAAAATCTTAGGACATCCGGAACCGGACAAAAATTACAGCAACACTAATTGTAGGTTAACATTTATTTTCATATTAATAGCTACTCAAAATTTACCTCGATTTGATCCACAAACAACAATAATGTACATGTTTGTTTCAGAAACACTTGAAAACATGGGAATTGAATTTTCAATTGCCCATTTCCACTAAAATTAATTTTAAACCAAAAATTAATTTTTAACCTTTTCCTCAAGTTGTTTACTCAAATGAAAGTCATAAAATTCAGGTTCTGTTTTAACAGATATAAAATAATAATATGAAAAGCCCACATAAGGATAGAGCTAAAGATAAAAATTAAACAATTATGTAATTAAAGGAAATTACAATTTCGAGTCTATCGAATTTTTTCCGTGTCAATTGACTTTCGCATTCATTAATAAAATTTTTGAAGTAACGATTTGATTGTTTAACATTTAATAATTGATTTAAATTGAGATATTTAAATATATCTAGTTGAACGTCAGCCGGAAGAAAATACATTTTTATACTATTAACCTTTTGTCTGAAAAGAAAATAAGATTCTAAAAGCAGCGGTTTTATTAGGACGTTGTTCCGAGTTGACTGAAGTTATAAACCTAACAAGTTATAAACATCAACATTTCATTACCCCCCCCCCCCCCCTCCCTCAAGTCTCCGTTTTAGTTGATGCACGAAATGGTCAGTCATTTCTTTCCTCAAAGAAAATGCCGGCAGACATTAAAATTAGAAATGAAAGTTTTAAGACATAAAGTCCGTTAGAGAATATGCTTAGTTTATTTTTTTTCATTTTTATATGTATGTAATACATAAATTGGGCTTGGATTTGATTAAAATAAAACCACAAAATATTCCCCCTCGTATTCATTAATAAAATTCTTGAAATAACAATTTGTTTGTTGAAAATTTAATAATTGCTTGAAATTGGGATATTTGAATATATCTAGTTGGACTTCTGATGGAAGACAATACATTTTTACATAAATTCTACCTTGAAAAAAATAAAATGAATAAATTTGCTTAAACAAAAGTATTTTTATTTTGATAAAATTTCAACAAATATTGGAAAATATTATTTTAAAAATTTTCTTAAGAAAAAATCTTTATCAGAAATATGTAAAAAGAATAAACCTAAAAATTAATGCATTTACTTCATCTAATTTTTATATCCGCAATTTTATCAAAAAATTTCCTATTAAGAATAATTTAAGTTGCGGACAGAGGAGGGTCGGAACATTCAGAGGTGTCGGAACTCGAAAGAGCCGGAAATCGGAAGAGTCGGAAATCGGAACTATCTCAAAAGTCGGAACTTGGAAATCAAAATTTTTTTCGGAAATCGGAGGGAAAAAACGTCGGAAATCGGAATTCCTACCCAACTCTGGTTGCGGATTATATTTATTGAAAAGTTGATAGGATTATTTATCTTTATTCATTTTGGAGTCCTCCATTGTAAATCGAGTTGAACACCTTTGCATCATTTTTTATGTGGATAAAATATTTTAAAGAGAAAAATTATCTTCATTTTATAGAACACAAAGAATGGATCGACATCAAAACATTAATGATGAAAACTTTCCTAAAAATAATTTGTGAAAAGCATAGCAAATCTTCTTTAGAGAGGCTCAGCAATATTTAAACTTTAAAAAAATGAAAAATCTTCCAAATAAATTAAGAAACCTAAAATTCAAGGCAATTAAAGCTATTTAAAACAATGTTCATTAAGCCCATCTCCATTCATTAAAATTCGAAATGATTTCCATAGTGCTTTCCACATGGTAAAAATTATAATCTGTAATTAATAGTTCTGACTGGGTTGTAGATTTCAACAAATTACTCGTTTAAGCGAATCCGAAAATCTTCAGGGTTTCGGTTTGAAGCCGATAACCCGAATCCTAAACAAAACTTAAAATTTTAGTAAATTTTTTAAGTTTATTTTAAAGTAAATTTTAATAAACTTTCATTTTTGTAGACATTAATCAAGATTTTTTGATAATGAAAAATTTTTAAAAATTTTTTTGTACATCAGGAAAGTGTTGAAGCTTTTGAATGTGATGAAGAAATAGATTGGTTTTAATTTATTACGTCAAAGTCCAAAATTTTTAATTTTAATTTGCATAAGTATGGAGCTATATTTAATCCAGAAATGATTGAATTATTATTAGTAAGTCATAAAAATAATAATTCAATCATTTCTGTCTTAAATATAGCTTCCTTAAAGTAATAGGAATTATAGTACGTGGGAGCACGAAACTGAATTTAAGATAAATACCAATTGATTTAAAGTATCCAAAATTCTTCAAGAATGCCAAATATTCTGTGATCTTAAAAAATATTTAGAATTAATGTAAAATAAAGTACTGATTGAAATTGAGATATTTAAATTTATCTAGTTGAACTTCTGGTAGAAGAAGATTCATTTATACATAAAATTTTTTTGAAAAAAAATACAATTTTAAACGAAACTGGATTCTGTGCTAGATTTTAAAGGATTAAACAACTTCTCACAATAGTTATCCGCAAAGTTTTTGAAGTTTTTCCTGAACAATGAATTCACAGATGCTTCAACTTACCAGACTATAAAAACTTACTACCCAAACGAGTCTAGAAATTAATAAACGCTTCTAAAAATGTTATAAATGTCAAAAACGAATATTGATTGAACTTTGTGGTCCTAGAGTAATTTTTGTAATAAAGTATTTAGGTAATTCAATATCCAATGGTACCAAGAACATGTCGGGTGATTCCTTTCACGAGTTGTTTTTCATGAGTTCAAGAGTTATACTTTCAACTAGGGTTGTTGGCGACTGGTTTTAAAACCGGAATTTTTGAAAATTTTTCCCAAAAAGTAACCTCTTTTAGAAAATTTTAAAAACCGGAAATTTGTGAAAATGAGTAGCTTTATTAAAAATTCCCCCAAAATAAAACCGGTATTTGCCTAAAACTCAAAACCGAAAACCGGGTTTTTAAAATTTGGATTAACCGAAAACTGTGGTACCGGTTAATAACCGGACGTCAACAACACTACTTTCAAGTCTATATGTATTTAATTTTATATAGAAAGTTATTTTTGATAAAATTTCTGATATAAAAGCTAAAAGAATTAATTGATAAATTTATTTTTTGTTATTTTTGATAAATCTTTTTCTTAGGAAAATTTTTAAAGTAATATTTTCCAATAGTTGTTGAAATTTTATCAAAATATAAATACTTTTTTAATAAATTTAAGCAAATTTATTCATTTTATTTTTCTTTCTAGATTAAAAAATATTTAAATAAAAATGTATTGCCTTCCATCAGAAGTCCAACTAGATATATTTAAATATCTCAATTTTAAGCAATTATTAAATTTTCAACAAACAAATTGTTATCTCAAAAATTTTATTAATGAATACGAGGAGGAATTGGCACGGAAGGAATTTTATAAACTCGACTTTGTAATTTGTCTATATTAATTCGATCATTAGCAAATTTTTAGATTTCTACCAGTAAAACGACTATAAATCATTATAAATTGTTTAAACCAGAACCCGAAGTTTATGACTTTCAATTGAGTGAACAACTCGAGAATAAGGTTAAAAATAAACATTTTTAAATAGATCAGTTTTAGTGGAAATGGGCAATAGAAAAATCAATTCCTATCTTTTTAAATGCTAATGATGCAAACAGAGAAAGTGTTATTTGTGTATTGGAACAAGTTCACTATTGTAAACTGGAACTTGAACCCAAACGAGGTAAAATAAATACGTGGCAGGGCAACTTTGTTCAGCCAAAACTTTGTACGGCCAATAATACTTTGTCCAAGGAAAAAATGAATTTTCAAGGTTTGGGATATTTTTGGCACGAGTAATATTGTCTGTTACAACGGGAATGATTGTTCCAGCACCGTTGAAAATTTGTTCCTTACACAGTTTATGGTTTTGTGAATTTTTGTTCAGGTTCTTTTTGTAATTCCTAGTGTTCGGCAATTTTTTAAAATGAATCCGATATTGATCCAGGGCTTTAAGCGAGGAAAGCCCTGGGTCCTGTTCCTCGCTTTAAGCGAGGAACAGGATTTTCGGGAAACTTAAATAATTCTTTTAGAAATTAATCTCGCGGGATCCCATCCCGGTCGCCCTTTAGAAAAAAATCCCGTCACGGGATCTCGGATTTTCGATTATTCGTACTCAAGTTCAAACTGCAGGGAAGGTTGTTCCAACAACGGGGAATGATTTTCCCATAAGTAGAACTATAATTCACGTTGCACGGCCACGCCTAAAAGACTTCACCCTATGGAAAAAAATAGATTTATTTATGGACGAAGTTTTGGTAAAACAAAGTTTTGCCTGGACGGAGTTCTGACGGATATAGTGTAGTCTATCATCGAGATCTAAAGGCTCGAAAATCAGTAAATTTTAGAATTTTACAATATACGATTGCCAGACTATCCAAAAACTATAGAAGACATGAAAATTGCTCGTTATTTTTTCAAACAAATATTTAACTATTTTTTTAAACTGGCAAATTTTAATTTCATTATATTCAATCCTCAAATGATTGAATTATTATTTGATGAAAACAAAACTAAAATATCTTTACAAATTCATTCTCAAAAAGCTGCCTTACACATTAACAATAATCATACAGAATTGTTTTTACAATTTGCATTGAAGCATTTGATTTCTAAGCAATTTAATATTTATTTTCGAGAATTAAACGGTATAGACCAACATTTGGATATTTTATTTAAAATTGTGACAACTCGAGGAAAGAAATTTGTCTATGTTAATTATTTATTTAGTTACTTTTCAAGGCTTTACTACAATCGTCTTATTCAGGTGCCTATGAGTAAAGGTCTTTTATGTATATGAACGGGACTATATTTTAATAGAAACGGGTAGTATTTAACTCCGTTTACTAAAAAACTAGAAACTGATGGCTAGAACATTAAGACTACATCTATTCCAAAAATACATAATAGATTCAATAGCTTTACCCATAAATTCACCCGCATATTAGTGTTTCACTTGAACCGAAATCTGTTTATATTCAATTTCGTTCTCCCCCCCCCCCCTCCTTTTTCTTTCCTCAAAGTATTAAAAAATGGTCAGTCAATCTTAAGTTATAGAACTCGTCGAGCTGTGTTGAATGACACTAAAATCAACGTGATTTGACAAAGTTATGACATAAGTCACCGACTTGATCGGAACCGGATACATTTTGAGTTCAGGACCCTGAAACCAGAACCCGAACCCTTTCTTGTGTCCGGCCCAGAACCGAAACTTCGGTGAAACCCTAACGCATATGTATCCAACTTCACATTTTACGAGAATATTTTTTAGCATATAGAAACATCAAAAAATATTTCAAAAATTGTGCAATTAATTAAATTCGGCGGCGTTCGTGGACCTCTTACTTTAAGTGAACAAGCAGAAAATATTGAAATCAAAGTTAAAAGCAACAACTTAAACTCAACAAAATATCAGCTTTCCAATAAATACAATCCAGAAATGAAGTTTTCTGTTTTTATTGACGAGGTCTATCGTTTTGATGAAAACATAGCAATTTATAATGTTAAAATTGAAAGAAATATGTAATAAAATTTTTTGATGCTTTAAATATAAAGATTCATTTTAATTAAAAAATTTTGTTTTAATTTTGCTCTCTGTTGATAAAAGTTGTTTAGCAAAAAAGCTTCAAGTATATTTTTAAATTCCTCATAAACAATGTTCCTCTTTCGACTGTCAAATAAAAATGAAATTTTAAATAATGTTAATAAAAATTTAATTCCTAGGTTGTATTTATTTTATAAATTAAAACGTTAATCTCCAAATCCAAGAATTTATTAATATTTTTTAATTTTATTAGCATTGAAACTTAAGTTTGGATGCTAATAAAATTAATAAATTTGGCTTTAAAAACCAGATCAGATGACTCATAGACGTATGTAAAACCCCACAAAAACAATAAGAACACTTTACTGAATAACCTTTGTTGTTCTTCTGGGAATCTCTAATTTTTATAAAAAAAATTCTTTACATGCAATGATTAAACATATCATGTTTTTGCACTAATAAAAATTTTTCTCTAATAAATCTTGCCCTTTTAAGATTTTTCACGTGAATATTATTATTATTTTTAATAAATCACCCCTAAGTATCAAATCTATATATGCACCTCAACAAATTAAATCCCGCTAAAACCTTATTGCTACCTTCTTGTTTTCAATCATAGTGTTGAACATATTCCGATATACATATTTTAAAAGTTAACTTAATCTTAAGTTTCCTTGCCATCTTTTAACGCTAAATGAAATTACAAGTGAAGTCAATGGGTGGGTTGCTCCAGGAGTAGATTCGGAGCCATAAAACGTCTAACTAGAGATTAAAAAACAAACTCAAAACATTTATTTAAACAAATTTTAAATTAAAAAAGCCAACTTGATCATTTTGTTGATCTTTTGAGAGGTATATGTACATATATTTACATTTAATAATTATTAAGAAATATTTAAATTGATTCCCAAAATTATATGACAAGGAAAAATTTTCCCTCTCTCTCTCCCCCCTCATCAAAAATAAAATTTATTTTATTTATTTATTCATTCATTTATTTTTTTTTTATTTAAATTTTTTAAAAAAAATTTAAATTAATTTAATTTAAGAATTTAAAAATGAATTTAAAATTTTGGTTATTTTCATTTTATTTTCTTTTTCAATTTTATTTGAGTGAAGGGGTTAGATTTAATGAAGTGATAAACTCGAATGAGATAAACTCAATTGAGAATGAGGAATTGAAGCAAGATTTGAAAAATAATCTTGAGTATTTGGAGGGGAAATTAAACTTTTTTAAAAACAAAATTGTAAAAGAATATTGTTTTAATTTTTAAAATTTTTTTTTTTGAATTTTAGAATAAGAATAAAGCTTTGGGAGAAAAGTTAGAGTCAGCCGCTAAGAAGTTATGCAATAAATTGAAAGTTATGGTGGAAAAAAGTAATTGGGATAATTTTTTTGTATTTTTAGACAATGGAATAACTATCCTAAAGAAAATTTACAAAACAATGACTAAGGAGTATGAAGACTATGAAAAAAAGTATTATGTTAAAGCTTTCGACATAATTTCTAAAAATTGGGGCATATTCATAATTATTTTTAATTTATGGCATCAAAAAATTCTTTTCTTTTCTCAACCTTCTGTTTCTCAACCTTCTGTTTCTCAAACTTCTACCTCTCAAAATCATTCCCATCACCGCCGTTCAAAACGTGGTTATAATTACTATAAGAAAACAGAAGAGGAACGTGAGAAGGAACATAATGAACAGGTAAACAAATTCAATCAACATGTTGATGAAGCTTACAATTTTGTTTGTCTTAGTTATGTGTTTTTGAACATTATTATGTTCGTTGTTGTTTATTTATTTGCAACACAAATATATCGACAACTTCATTAGGAAAGAGGTTTTATGTAAAAAATTAGCCAAATATGTTAAAATATTTAAATTAAAAGTATGGGGATAATTGTCTTATAGTATTCATTTCTGTGTTTAAATTAATTTTGCTGAAAAACAATATTTTCCGGTACAAATAAAAATTAAAGATTTATTCGGAAGAATTAGAAACTCCTTAATTTAAATTTAAAAATAGAAATTTATAAAAAAAGAGAAATTAAAAAATAATTTTTAAATGAATACATATTTGGTTATTATTTTTATAAGATTATTTATTATTCTTTTAAATTTTGTAGGGGGATTTTAAAAATTATTTCAGCTATCTAACATATTTTTTTTTGTTTTTGGTAATTTTTATTGAGTTAGTCATTTTAAATTTTATTTTTATTACACACTTTTTATGATTTTAAATTATGTAACTTTAGTTCATTAAATTTTAGATTGATGCGTATAAAGAGTTTTTATTATTTCTTTTAATGTTTATACTTTTAGAGTGTCTTAATGTGTATCTGAATGTCGATGAATGTATATCCTTATAATTGTTGTTTTCATTTTACTTTTCATAATATTTTTACAATGCTTTTGTGCTATAACTTCCTTTTAATTAAAAAATAATAGTAAACAAACAAATTGAAAAGGTATACCTTTTATTTTTCAAGCTCAAAACCACTCACAAATTTTCATTTATTTTTATAAAAAACAGAAAATCATTATTTTAAAGCCATTAGTCAGAAAATCGTCTGAAATTTACAGTTCGAATATTGGATCAGGATATACAGTGATTTCCCAGGATAAGACAGTTCAATAGAAATGCACTTCAACAAATTAAATCCCGCTAATTCCTTATTGCTACCTTCTTGTTTTCAATCATAGTGTTGAACATATTCCGATATATGTACATATTTTAAAAGGTAACTTAATCTTAAGTTTCCTTGCCATCTTTTAACGCTAAATGAAATTACAAGTGAAGTCAATGGGTGGGTTGCTCCAGGAGTAGATTCGGAGCCATAAAACGTCTAACTAGAGATTAAAAAATAATTTTAAAACATTTATTAAAACAAATTTTAAATTTTAAAAGCATTTTGATCATTTTGTTGATCTTTTGAGAGGTATATGTACATATATTTACATTTAATAATTATTAAGAAATATTTAAATTGATTGCCAAAATTATATGACAAGCAAAAATTTTCTCTCTCTCTCTCTCTCTCCCCTCATCACAAATAAAATTTATTTTATTTTTTTAATTTTATTCATTTATTTTTTTTATTTAAATAATTTTTAAAAAAATATTAATTTAATTTAAGAATTTAAAAATGAATTTAAAATTTTGCTTATTTTCATTTTATTTTCTGTTTCAATTTTATTTGAGCAAGGGAATTACATTTGATGAAGTGATAAACTCTGTTGAGATAAATTCAATTGAGAATGAGGAATTGAAGCAAGATTTGAAAAATAATCTTGAGTATTTGGAGGGGAAATTAAACTTTTTTAAAAACAAAATTGTAAAAAGAAAATTTTTAAATTTTTTAAATTTTTTTAATTTTTAGAACAAGAATAAAGCTTTGGGAGAAAAGTTAGAGTCAGCCGCTAAGAAGTTATGCAATAAATTGAAAGTTATGGTGGTAAAGAGTAATTGGGATAATTTTTCTGTATTTTTAGACAATGGAATAACTATCTTAAAGAAAATTTACCAAACAATGACTAAGGAGTATAAAGACTATGAAAAAAAGTATTATGTTAAAGCTCTCGCCATAATTTCTAACAATTGGGACATATTCTCAATTATTTTTGATTTATGGCATCAAAAAATTCTTTTCTTTTCTCAACCTTCTGTTTCTCAACCTTCTGTTTCTCAAACTTCTACCTCTCAAAATCATTCCCATCACCGCCGTTCAAAACGTGGTTATAATTACTATAAGAAAACAGAAGAGGAACGTGAGAAGGAACATAATGAACAGGTAAACAAATTCAATCAACATGTTGATGAAGCTTACAATTTTGTTTGTCTTAGTTATGTGTTTTTGAACATTATTATGTTCGTTGTTGTTTATTTATTTGCAACACAAATATATCGACAACTTCATTAGGAAAGAGGTTTTATGTAAAAAATTAGCCAAATATGTTAAAATATTTAAATTAAAAGTATGGGGATAATTGTCTTATAGTATTCATTTCTGTGTTTAAATTAATTTTGCTGAAAAACAATATTTTCCGGTACAAATAAAAATTAAAGATTTATTCGGAAGAATTAGAAACTCCTTAATTTAAATTTAAAAATAGAAATTTATAGAAAAAAAGAAATTTAAAAATAATTTTTAAATGAATACGTATTTGGTTATTATTTTTATAAGATTATTTATTATTCTTTTAAATTTTGTAGGGGGATTTTAAAAATTATTTCAGCTATCTAACATATTTTCTTTGTTTTTGGTAATTTTTATTGAGTTAGTCATTTTAAATTTTATTTTTATTACATACTTTTTATGATTTTAAATTATGCAACTTTAGTTCATTAAATTTTAGATTGGTGCGTATAAAGAGTTTTTATTATTTCTTTTAATGTTTAAACTTTTAGAGTGTCTTAATGTGTATCTGAATGTCGATGAATGTATATCCTTATAATTGTTTTTTTTCATTTAAAATTCTTTTAATATTTTTACAATGCTTTTGTGCTATAACTGTCTTTTAATTAAAAAATAAGAGTGAACAAACAAATTAAAAGGGATACTTCTCTTTAATTTTTCATCCTCAAAACCACTCACAAATTTTCTGTTTATATTTATAAAAAACAAAAATTGTTATGTACGTGACTTCTGTCTACGTACTAACAAGAATAACAAGATAAGACAGACTAACAAACTGTGCTTTATCTACAAGACTAAATACAATAATAGCGAATAATAGGAATATGGCCGACGCCGAATATGTGAAGCACTAGAATAAGACTAAGAATAACACTAACAGACACTAACCCCGAATGACTAAAGCCGTAGCCTTTTACCCAACAAAAATCATTATTTTTAAAATCATTATTCGTAAAATCATTTCTGAAGTTTACAGTTCGAATATTGTATCAGGATATCAAGCCCAGGATTATATTTCCCAGGATATGCAACAGTTCAATAGAAGGTAAAATTAATGAGAAA